AGCGAGACCCTGTTTCAAAAAGACCAGAAAAAAGTGGCAGAATCCAGTTGAGCAATTGGGAGGCCAGAGAAGGACCTGGTCCTTGGCTTCAGGGCAGGGACTGGCTCAGGGCTCTCAAGACTCTCAGAATGTCAGAGCTGCCTTCACTCTGCAGTCAAGGGCCAGAGCGGCTGAGTGACTTACCCAGCTTGATCTAGCGGAAGCCTGGCTATTCCACCCAGGGGTGCTATGCTCCTGGGATGGCCGGCCACCCTCACCTCTGCCCCGCTGTCCCAGGGCACCTCCACTGCCAGGAGTCAGCCAAACTGAAGTATTGTTCCAGCGCAAGGACAGGGAGGGGGCAGCCGGTGAGGGAAGCCACAGAGAAATGCTTCTGGGACGCAGCCCCTGCGCTTGTCTCCACAGGACCCTGAGCGCGCTCAGCCAGACTGGTCCCTCCCCGCCGCAGGTGGGGCCGTCCCGGACCGCCCGACGTTACCCAGCCACTGCCAGCAGCGGCCAGCTGACTTCCAATGCACTGCCTGCAGGACTTGAGCAGAGGGATGGTGCCCAGCAGGCCGCGCCTCTGGGCTTCCTGTCGTCCCCCTGGGGTAAGGAGACGCTGTCTCGGGGCCCAGAGCACTACATCCTGAGCCCTCTGGGCCCCGCCTCCGCTTCTTCCTCCATGCTGCGGTGGAGCTGAGCTGTCACCTCGCCTCACATTCTTTCAGCCGAGAATATGTGAGCCCTTCCTTTGTGCCGGGCCCCGAGGGCGCCGGATTAGCTGATCTGGACTTGGCCCCTGTTGAGAGCAAGGGCCCCGGCTGCTGTAGCTCTGCCGGTCTGTCATCCCCTCCTGCCCTCGCTTCCTTCACATCTGACCTGGACCCTCACCTTGCAAACGCAGGCCTTCCCACCCAGCCCATCCTTCCTGCTAACCTCGTCCCTCCTGATTGGCCAACCAGCTGCTTCCGTAGCACCAACACCGGCCCCTTCTCCTAGGAAAAAGCCCTCAGCGGCGTATCTGACTGCACCAGAGTGTGCGCTCCGTCCTTGCCCGCACCCTTTCCCTGCTGCCTGGGCGTGCTCCCCCCATTTCCGCAGAGCAGCTGCTCCTGGCCCCAGACCTGCAGAAGCGGGGAGCCAGCTCCTCTGCACCTCCCTGCACCGGCAAGCTTCTTCATCCACACTTCCTGCCTCCGCTTGCCTCAGCCCTCTGCCTCTGGCCTCCCTCCGCTTCTGGATGAATAGCCCTCCATTGGGCTTCCACGGCCATACCCGTGCGAGTGACCTCCCAGGCCCCGCCCCCTCACGGTCCTCCCACACCTCCCCTTTGATGTCTTGCTGGGCGCTTCTCAGAGGCTTCCCCACCACGCACAGATACAGTGCCTGGCCCTGTTCTGGTAATCAGGGCCCCCAAGACCTCACTCTGATCACTCCTCGGTTTTTACCTTCTTCCATTTCTCTTAGCAGCCTCTCCTTTTTGCACCATCTGAGCCGTGTTCCATCCCAGGCCCCCGGGTTCAAAGCCCAGCCGTCATTGGACATATGAAAATTGCTAATACTCAGCCATTTTAACCTATAAAACTGGCAATTTCTGAGGGCTCAGCCCAAAGTAATACCCATCGAGAGGGCTGAGAGTTAACGTGCACGGAGTGTGGGCGCAGTGGCTGCCTCTCAGAGGTGTTACTGCTCAGACCGGGCGTGCTGGCACACGCCTGTAATTGCAGCACTCAGGAGGCTGAGGCAGGAGGATCATGAGTGCCAGCCCAGCTTGGGCTGCATAGTGAGGACCTGTCTGATTTAAAAAAAAGGTGTTACCCTGTCCCTACTGTGGACTGGCATCCTGTAAGTACTCAACAGATGCCCTGGGGGTGGCCGCATCCCTCGCCCCACGGGCCTTTCTCACTAGGCGCTGGAGGTCACAGCTATGCCTCTCAGCCCTGCCCCCTGGACCCAAGCCCTCTGTCCGCAGGGCTGAACCTCACCGAGAAAATCAAGAAGATCAAGATCGTCTTCACCCCCACCATCTGCAAGCAGACCTGTGCCCGTGGGCACTGTGCCAACAGCTGTGAGCGGGGCGACACCACCACCCTGTACAGCCAGGGCGGCCACGGACATGACCCCAAGACTGGCTTCCGCATCTGTGAGTCTCTTTCCCCACGAATGCTTCCTGGATGGCCCTGGGAGTCGGGGTGGCTGGAGGGGCAGGCCTGCCCTGGCCGGGAGCCCAGCTCCTCCCTAGGAAGGAAGCCTTCCCCTGCTCCTGTCCCCAGCCACACGGGGAGCTGAGTCATCCCCCGGGCCTGTCGCAGCCTGGTCGTGTGACTCAGGCAAGTCACACACTTCTCTGAGTCCAAGCTAGCCTCGCTGAGAAGTGAAGAGGGAGTTAGTGATGCTCCTGCCCCGTGTCTAGGTTCTTGTGGGGACCAGGGAGAGACATGAAAGGGGTTTTTGGCAGGGCCAAGGCTGATTATTATCTGCCCTCCTTTACTCCAGAGCCTCATGGAAAGTCCCTGCCTTCCGGGGGTGCTGGGCCCCCAGGCCACCCACTTCGGATGGCCACGTGGTGGGTGCTGCTATCCGCCCACCACGGTTGCCTTGGTTGGTGTTGTAGATTTCTGCCAGATCCCCTGCCTGAATGGAGGCCGCTGTATCGGCCGGGACGAGTGCTGGTGCCCCAGCAACTCCACCGGGAAGTTCTGCCACCTGCCGGCTCCGCAGCCAGACAGGGAGCCTCCCAAGACAGGGTCCCGCCACAGGGCCCTGCTGGGAGGCCCCTTGCAGCAGTCCACCTTCATGCTGCCACTCTCCAACCAGCTGGGTGAGTGCCACCAGGCAGGGTGGACCCGGTCACCTGCTGAGCTGGCTGGGGACGGGAAACCCCTCCCCCTGACCTCATGCGGCCCTCCTGCTGGGGACCGGAAGCACCTCCCCCTGCCCTCATGCAGCCCTCCTGCTTTCTCTGCCGCCGGCGGGCTCCGTCTGTTCCTGAGCTTCTCTCCCCGCCCAGCTTGGTGGCTCAGGGTGTTTTTGCCTTGGCCTGTGCTGGGAAAGTCAAGGTAGCCTGCAGGCAGCGTCCTGCCCTCAGGTGCCTGTGGTCCTGGTGTACAGATTCCAGCACAAAACGCAGCACCTCATTTTCCCTGTGTCCCATCAGCAAACGGCAGATTAAGGATACAAAAAAGAATTGCAGAATGCTGTGAGAGACAAGGGGAGCAGGGCCCTCCAGGCCTGGGGTGCTCTGCGATGCTGTGTGGAGGGGACACCTTCCCTGAGCCCCTGGCCAGCGGGCAGCGCTTGGTTCAGCAGAGGGAGGGACGGCGCGGGCAAGGCCTGTGAGGTGGAGTGGGGTCGGGGTCAGTGGCGGGATCTCAGGCTGTGCAGGAGCGTGGGTGGAGGTGGAGTCAGGAGATAAGAACTTGTGTCCGAGGGTCCTTCCGTGAAGCCGTCCGCCCTTCATCCTTCCCTCAAGGGAGAAGTGTTCTGGGGCTCCGGGCAGCCAAGATGTGGAAGAGCGTTTACACAGACACCCAGCCTGCCTGGCCCAGGGCTATGGGTGCCCCCTGGGGAGGTGGTGGTGAGGTGGGGTTGTTTCCTGGCTCTGACCCCGGCCCCCTGTGCCCAGCTTCCGTGAACCCCTCCTTGGTGAAAGTGCACATCCACCACCCACCGGAGGCCTCTGTGCAGATCCACCAGGTGGCCCGGGTGCGGGGCGAGGCCGACGGGGCCCTGGAGGAGAACAGCGTGGAGACCAGAGCTCCGCCCCGGCGCCCCGCCCACCCCCAGCACGGCGGCTGGGACGGCAACAGCATCCCCGCGCGATCCGGGGAGCCCCCGCAGTCGCCACCCCAAGTGGTGTCCAGGCGTCAGGGGCTGCTGGGCCGGTGTTACCTGAACGCTGTGAACGGACAGGTGAGAGAGCAGAGCCTGCCCTCCCCTGAAGCGTCCAGAACATCGCCCCACCTGCCTTTCTCCTCTCTCTCCTGCTTGTTCCGGTGGAGTGTCTGCAGTCTCCCACTTCCCAGATGGGAACACCCGGGGCCCAGAAGCGCCGGAGTATGGAAAGGCTGGGCCTCCTCCTGTCCGGGCCCGACTTGGTACCGCTGGTGCCAAGCAGACAGCAGCGGGGCGAGGAAGTCCCTCTGCGGAGGAGCTGCCACAGCACCCCAAAGGCAGCCTAGGTGTTCGGCCCCAGAAAATGCTGGGCTCTCTGAAAGCTGACCAAGGAGGACCAACTCCGCGTCTGCTGCGGAGCTTGGTCTTCAGTCTCAAAGATGTGGAACTGGTAAACGCAGGCTGCAGCTTAAAGGCCTGGTGGTACCAAGACGAGAGGTGCTCCATGTTCCCCGGAGGCATCCTCAGCTCTTGATGGGGGTCCAGTCAGGCAGGGCTGAGACCGGACTCAGGTGGCTGAGGCCAGCCTTTTCTTAAGGCTGCAGTGTGGGGTTTCTCAGGCCAGCGGGTCTGAGGAAGAGAGTGACCAAGGGAGAAGGACTGCAGTCCCAGGTCCTCCCCGGCCTTCAATCTGTGATTCCCCACGACTGGGGCCCCACCCAGGGGAGGGCCCTCATATTCCCTGCCCTGGAGGTTGCTGAAGAAAAGCCCGTCCTCTGGGACTCCTGTGGAGGTTGGCAGCCGGCACACCTGTACAGGGGAGATTGTGTGTCTGGATGGTGCCCCCTTCCAATACAAGGTTGGGTCTGGCACGCTGGACCACAGCTTTGTCTGCCTCCTTCCAGTGGGCTGGCTGAGCCCTTCTCCCCTGCCTTGGGGGCATCCCCTGGCAGAGGGGAGAGGCTTCGTTCTATGTCCTGGGCTCTCCTGAGACATCTCTGCACGGCAGGGGAGGGAGTGGGGGTCACAGGTGTCCGTGGCTTCTTTTCCAGTGTGCCAACCCGCTGCTGGAGCTGACTTCCCAGGAGGACTGTTGCAGTGGTGTGGGAGCCTTCTGGGGGGTGACCTCCTGTGCCCCGTGTTCACCGAGACAAGGTGAGTGCTGGTGTCAAGGTCCAGGTGGTGGGGAAGCTCTCCCTGCTGCGGAGCATGCCCTCCGCACACCCCACCTCAGGGTTTACAGGCCAGGTAGGTGGAACAGACAGATAAGCGTGCAGGCCTTCCAGGTCAACCTTGATGGAGCCTCTGGCTGGCAAACCAGGCCCCACGGCTCAGCCAGCCCTCTGCCCAGCTGCCTGGCCCACTGCTCTGACTGCCTGCCCGTGCAGGGCCGCTCCTTCTTCAATAGGTTTAGGGTCTTCCTCTGGTGCTTGGCCCCCGCACCCTCCTCTCCCACACACCCCTGCCCAGGCCAGAGGCCTTGATGTGATTCGGTATTTCCCTCTTCTCACGCTGAAGGACCCCCGGCTTCCTCAACTCCTCACCTCCTATTCCTACCTCCCAGGCTCTGGACCACGGTGAACTGGTTGTCCCAGAGTGCTCTCAGCCTTGGGGTGTGAGAACCCCAGCCCGCTGCCTCCTCTTGAGTGGTAGGGAAAACCCAACATTCCTTCCTTCCTTTCTTCATTCGTGTAGCAAATACTCCCCAGTCTCTCATGTGTGTCAAGCACTGAGGATTTGGGAGTCAGCAAATTCATGTTAGTGCTGATCTCCAAGACGTGGTCTGACATCCAGGAAGCGGTGACATCCAGGTACCTCTCTGGCTTCTGCCTGCTTAGCCTGTCTTCTCCTCTAGGCCTCATTCCTGGGCCTGGGCCTGCTGTGTATTTCTTTTGCTAGTCAGCAGTCACCTCAGTTAGTCGGTTTTGTGGGGGTCTGGACAGGGCTATTCCCAGCGTCAGACTCAGCAGTGGGGCAGTGACTATACTTTCCAAACTGAAAATACGTGCAGACGGCTTCACAGTGTGATGGGATTTTTAGGGAGGCAGCAAAGCATAGCTGTTAGCTCCCAGACTTGAGCATCTGAAACACACCAGGTCCCAGTCCCCACCCTGCCCACTAACCTCTCTGCCTAGACGCTAGCTGCAGTGAGACGATGTACGTGCTTAGCACTAGGTTAGAACATGGTGGCAAATTGTAACCATGCCTTCAGTTCTGTGTCTGCAGTTGGGTCAGAAATATTCAGGGGTAATATTCTAGAAACTGTGGGTCAAAAATATTCAGGGGTAATATTCTAGAAAGTTCTGAAAAGTAAAACTTAAATTTGCCTTGCACTGAGCACCATGCTAAATCCGCACAAATGAGATGTGTGTAGTCATGTACTTTCATACCCTCCGCTGCTCCCTAGATCCTCAGTCCGTCTTCAGCATGCAGCGGGGCACGGTGCCCTTCCCAGCTCATTTCAGGCCTGTGGTGGCTGCCTCTGCACTGAGCATGTTTACTGAGCAGGCTTTTCTCTGGTCATAATTCCCTACAGAATACTGTGTAATGCCATGTACATGGAGTTTACATTACATTAGATGTTTTAAGAAATGTAGGGATGACTTAAAGTATACAGCAGGATTTGCGTGGATTATATTCCAGCACTGTGCAGGTTTACATAGGCTCAGGATTGGATTTTGGTGACTACTAAGGTTCTGGATCCAGTTCCTTATGGACACAGAGGGACGACTGTCCCATTAGTATCAGTTATTAGACGGTATATTAGCAGCTTTCCATTGTGGGGACAAAATGCCCAACACACACAGTTTAAAGGAGGAGAGGTTTACTTGGGCTTCCAGTTTCAGAAGGTTCAGTCCATGGTGGCTGGCTCCAACAGGAACACCGTGGTGGGAGGACGTGGCGGAGGAGAGCTGCTCAGCTAAGGGCAGCCAGGAGGAAGAGAGGGCTGGAAGAAGTCCAAGTAAGGGTACGTCCTTCAGAGACGCCGTCCCGGTGACCCACTTCCTGCAGCCAGGCCCCGCCTCCTGAGAGCACACTCAGCTGTGCGTTCATCAGTGGTGGATCCATGGCTGAGGTCAGTGCCCCTGGACCTCATCGCCTTACAAAAGCCTCACACCAGCCTTTTGGGGGACATTTTGGATGCGAACCATAATAGGAGGGATCCTCAAGAAAGGGAAAGGAAGGCCAGCCTACTGGTGTGAAGAGCTGCTCTGCATCTCCCCTGCAGCCAGAGATGTTTTTGCCACGTTCTTTCCTTGTTCCCCTCCCTCCTTCCTGTCAGGGCGGTTCTGGAGACGTCTTTCTACCTCCCACGTGCTGTGTAGACCCGCTTGAGGCAGCAGTGATGTGTGCAGTGGCGAGAGGTAAAAGCAGGGCCTCTTTCCTACAAGCTTGCAGCGCAGCGGGTGCCACGGACTGCCGGTGGCATCAGGAGTGAAGAGGCAGCACAGGACAGGTGCCGAGTGCTGTGGGGACAGAGACAGCGGAACCGGACCGCACACAGGTCCCAGAGCACCTTTCCACAAGTGAGGAAGAGGTGTCCCTTCCATTCCCAGGCCCGTCTTCGCAGGCGTATAAATCTAGGATGCCAGTGATTCCCTTTAACGTGGTCCTTTTTTAGTGCATCTGTACATGGTAAGGAAAGGAGCCCTAGTTTTTGTTTAGGGTCTTGTTTTGGTCTTTTTTGGGACAGGGTTTCACTATGCAGTTCAGGCTGGACTTGAACTCACTTTGTAACCCAGGCTGGCCTTGAACTCACAGCGATCCTGCTGCCTTAGTTTCCCGAGTGCTGGGATTACAGGCATGCGCCACCACGCCCGGTTTGAGCCCTAGTTTAAACTGGTGGATTGAACATTCTTTGAGAAGGTAGTATCCAAAATGAGATCTGAAGAATGCCTAGGAGGATGGGGCAAAGAGATGGGGAAGAGTTTAATAACCCAGGGAAACAGCAGATGCGGTTGAGACCAAGAAAGAGCAACATTTCCTAAAGCAGAGTGTGTCTGTTGCTGGCCCTGCCCAGCCCTGGCTTTCCTGAAAAAACTCGGGCGCATCCGAAGGTCCAGGTGGACCTTCCCAACCCCTTCCTTTAGGCGTGGTCTGGCTCCTAAGAGCTGCCTCAGGCAAACAGGGTCTATCAGCCCGCCTTGGGCTGCTGCTGGCCAAGGTGCTGACCTGCCCGGGAAAACCTCCGGGACCCGCAGGGGGTCCTCGGAGGAAGCGTGGATTTCATCCCAGCGGCGACTCCAGAGCAGCCTGAGGGTCTCCTGCTTGCTGTCTTGAGCTGGGTGCTCCGTGGTGTTGCTTCTGGAGTCTGAGAATGTATACAGAGGGGAAGGGTGGCCCCGGCTGCTGATGGCTGGGGTAGCAGAGGAACAGACTGGTAATTACGGCTGAGGAGCAGGGATCTGGAAGGGGCCCCCAAGGCCCCACTCCATTGGTGGCTTCCACTTGGCAGGGTCCTGAGCCCTGGGATGCAGCCTGCTGGGTAGGCGGTAGCACTTAGGGTCCCACAGGGCTGGTTTCCCTCTTCAGTTTGCTAGAATACCTTCCCAGTGATGTCAGTGACCAGAGCCCATCGGGATAGTGGAGTGGGAACCAGAGTCACCCCGAATTCATGTAAACATCAAATCACTGCTACAGAGTCTAAGTAGGGCCACAGGGGTCTGCCGCCCAGGGTGTGGCAACCCATCCGGGATCCAGGGGAGCAGGCTGTGAGCCCCACGGCCAGAGACAGCTGTGGTCAGTGAAAGATCCCAGGCCTTTACCCTTCAGCCGGGACTGGTGGCACAGCGGCCATGTCCCCAGACCTTCACTCTGAATATGAGAGACCTCACTTGGGTGTGGGATGGAAGAGAAGGCTAAGCTTGTGCTTTAGGGGCTGCCCCTGCCAACCCGCCCCACGCTGTCCTAGCTCTGAGCCAGCGTCGTGAGCTGAGCCCGCTGGTGACCAAGGACCCTGCTCCCAGCAGAGCCGGCTAACTGTCCAGGTGGGCTCTGGAGCCAGGGTGGTGGGCATGTTGCCGTGGGTCAGGCGCCCCGTGTGTGTGGGTGCAGCATGCCAGCCGCACCCACAGGAGGCTCAAGCCCAGCCCTGCGCCCCCCGGCATCTCCCGGCTGGGGCCCCTCTCCTCCCTTCCCTTGCCCGCTGGATTCAGTGCAGCTCAGCAAGCTGGGCACCAGGGCACGGAGCCTGCAATGCAGAGAGCCTGCAATAACAAAGACCAGGGAACATAAACATTAAACTACGTGAAAGTGCAGCTGGGCACCGTCTGGAGACGGGGCGAGCTGCACAGGAAACTTGTTTGTGTTGACCGCGAGCCAGGCAGACACCTAGCTCCACACGCTGCCTGGGGCTGGGGTGCGAAGTCGACAGGACAGGCCGGCTACTGTGCGGGCATCAGGAGCGGGAGGGACAAGCTGCTGCCTGGTGGGTTTGGGGATGCTGGGCAGCCAGGCGGGACGTCCGGATTCTAGAACGTTCTTGGCCACAAGCGGCTCTGCCTCTGTTTCTCCTCTGATGACGTAGGACTGTGCCTCTCAAGGCAGGCTTTGTCATCCTCAGCAAGGTGGTCTGGCAGAATCACAGCAGAACCGCTAGAGCGGGCAGCCAGGAACCACGGAACTTTGTGGCCGCCTCTCAGTTGCCTTCGGTCTTTCGAGGGTCCATGCTGGACTCAAGCAGAGTGCTGCTGCTTCTGACCCCGACGAGGGCAACCTCGCAGTCAACCTCGAGGTCTCAGTCTCGTGGCACCGACAGATGCCTTTTCTTCCAGGAGATTCCCCCTCCTCAGGGAGGCAGCCCTGGAGTCCGCCCATGTTCCTCTGCTTTTCCTCTGACTGAGAGCTATGGGTCCCCCTCGGACCTCCTGGGTCCTCAGCTGAGCCTGGGCCTTCCTGACCCTTTGAGAGTGGTCGAAGGTCCAGCGCAAAGCCTCTTCAGTGCCCCTGCCAGAGTCTTGGAAGAACGGCTCTCAAAGACCATTTTGATTGAGGCCACATTTTTCAGTTTCCATAGAAGACAGACATCTGGGTTGACTGGAAAGTTGGCCCTTGCCCCGTCAGGCTTGGCACTGGCTGTGTCAACCCCAAGGCCCCTTCGCTGGAACAACCGAAGCTGGCACACGGCTTGCAGCCTGCGGTGGTGGGCTCCAGCT